AAAATTGGATCGAGTCAATCAATCTTTAATTGAAAAGTGTCCAGCGATTTTCAACAGAAAAGGCGTTATTCTATAACACGATAATGCAAGACCGCATTACATAAGATGAACCCTGGATAAAATTTAATGAATTGAGGTTTAAGGTACTGCCTCACCCACCATACTCGCCAGACATTGCACCACCGGATTTCCATTTATTCAGATCGCTTTCTATGTAAAAAAATGATATCCAAAATGCCATTGAAAATTTGCACACTAGATGGGAAAAGGTTGTTGAAAACTAGTGTGATTACATGATTGATTAAACATGAAAATTAGTTAAAAATGTATTTGTTTGAATTTAATGTACATAAAGGACATTACTTTCGGGGCTCCCTTAATATAATAATAACATTTATTTTTTGATAGATAACTTCTTTTTTTTATATAAATCTTCCTTTTTCCTTAAATAAGGAAATATAGTCGACGTAATGGTTCAAACTTGCTACACCTGTTTTTTTTATATATTTCGGATGGGCGAAGGGAAGAAATGACCAGTTCCGGTCGTGCACTTCGTTTCTCCTCAGTTCTTCTCTCCTTTTCATTTATTGTGGACGTCTTCCTTCCCACGCAACCCTCGCTTCTGCAAATGTATAAATAATATTGCGTGTAATTTCGTCCATTCAGGTAAAAATTTATTACTTACGGCCCACGCCGGACGAAGAAAGGAAGCCGGATCTTCTTCGTGTCCTTCGTATTTTTCTCTACTATTCCTTGCATCCCGCGTGGGAATTGGCCTATTTTACACCTTGCATTAGAAAGGTCAAAAATGAGCATCGAATCGGAAATTAATGTGAGAAAAAAACTGCACAAAACTAAAGGTCTTTTCGCTTAGGAGGTGGAAAATCGTCGCATTAAAAGTTGAATTGAAATTGAAATCTTCGTAAAATGTACGTGTTGACTGTGAAACCTAAGATGAATGCAATAGTTTAGTAGTGTTGTTTTCTTTTGAAACGTTTTTTTCTCACTCTCGGTGAGAGTCTCATCCACTACTATTCCACTTCTATTTCAGTTTATTTTTATTTAGTGGCCTAAGTGCACTTGCGGCAAAGGGAAACATCAGTTCGCTTTCTGCCACTTTCGTAATCTGATCCATCCCCTTACTTCCAACCACCCCTCGCACCCACGCACACTATTTTTTTATGTTAGTCAGTCGATCGATTTTTCTTGCCTATTTCTCTTTTTTCCTATCGTTCTGGTTGAGAGACAAAAGGGCTGCGATAGTTTGCTTTTCAATTAGACGGAATCAATGTTATCGCGGAAAGATGATCTCTAATGTTTATTGAATCGGATGCCGCCAATCAAATGGTGAAAACGTATTCCCTTGGGGGGCGGCGGCGGTAGCAGCAGCCACGTGGCACTGGGCTAATGAGAAGGGCACGTGGCCGAGGGTGTTCTGATGGGACTGGTGGTCTGTAAGACCAACGTCACGTGCCCTCCAAAAACGCACTTAATAATGTGAAAGTGAATATAGCTTTCCGAATAATTGCTCCAGTTAACTGTAACTAAGTATAAATACATTTAGTAAATTAACAAAAATATCGTCCAACATCAATAGTCCTTATACTTGTTATTATATAACAAATTTTGTTTATTATCATCCTCCAAAATATTTATTATTCCTCCTGATTAAAAGATAAGTATTTCTGTAAAACTGTTAATACATATTTGATGGTCATTACATTTCCGCCTGGCTATTCCCGGGAATTTTTAAGATTTATATTTCCTGTTTTCCGAGAAAAAAATAACAAAATGATCGGGAAATATATACTCAATCGGAAATAAAAATTCCATAACGATTTATGTATTTTACTAAGAATAACAATGTTTTACTGATTTTGCTAATCTGAGTAATATTTTATCAAAAATAAATCAATTTGGTGATTGACAAATGTAGAATCTTCACCATTCATAGTCATTAAAAAGTATACACCAGGTAATTTTTTTTTATTTCGTAGAAAAATAATATTTGATTCTTGACACAGAGTATCAGATTTCAGATAATAAATAAAAGTTTAAAATAAAGGTTATGGTATTTCATATTTTCAGTTAAAACAGAAATAAATTTATATTATGACTGCAATAGGTTTAAGAATTTAAATTGGAATATTTTGTTCATTTTTTTGTTATTTGAAAAGTACCTGAGTATGTACATTTTTTTATAATCCATTCATATTATTATACTTACTAATTTCAGGAATTACGTATAAAAAAATATGTCTACAACTTTAATTGATAATGTAAATTACGTTAAGAATACTTTTTAACTAATATTATTTGTATTAACTTTTCTCACAAACAATCATTGATTAAAAATTGTATATTTTCTATTAAATATTAACCCTTGTTTGAGAATTAACTTATTTGTCATGTATTAGTAAAATTAAAACTGCTAATCTTTGCAAATCCTCGTCGATAATGAGAAAAGCACTTTCACGATGGATGCAAATTTTATAAAAGATTACAGTTTTCAACTTTCAAAAAAGCAAATAATATTTACCGTTGTGTAAAATTAATAACTGCCCATAAACGAGGATATGAATTGAGCATAAAATTTCTTAGAATTTTCCAGGTATATATTTATCAGTAATTTGTACCCAAGGAAGATACTTTTTTCACAATAAAATCCAATGGTTTATAATTTTTCTACATTTGAAAAATTATGTTATATTTCTATAAACATATCGTCAAAAAATATATTTACCTGTATATAGAAAATGTGTGTTGGTGGCTGATACATTATGTGATTACAAATATCAAGAAATCAATTATAAAAATGTGAAATGCTGCAAATACAAAAATAAAATATAATTATATTCATATATTGTCAACTTATTAATCTGCACAATATTTTTGCAATAAAATCAAACGTGAAAGTAAAATATAATCATATAGATTTTGATATTTATTATTGATTGTAGACAATAATTCTAAATAATATTTTGATGAATATTGTAGAAAAATAACAACATTTTATTAATTATCATAATTCTTCTACCTGGATACATTCGAACTGTTCTTTTGTTGGAGGTCCGGATATTAAATGTACTAGGTAGACAAAAAGAATGTCGTGTTAATGGAAAATGGGGTTTCGTACAGAATGCGATTCCCATCAGGCATAAATAGTAATGAATGAGAAATTGAAAGATGATCCTGGTCGGATGGCTGGTCGTGTGCCCGAGGTGGTCCACTGTTGTTGTTGCAAATTAAATCGTGTGAGTGCCTTTCCGGAAGGGCCCACTTCGTGGTGAATTTCGTCGAGCAGATAAGAGGGCTCCGATTAGGGCTGACACGAGGCAGACACGCGCCGCCTCCGCCGTTCCACTCGCATCGCCATTGTTGTAGCTCGGGACGGATTAATCTCGCATTCAATGCGTCAACTGAGTAGTTTAGAAGGTTTCCAATTTCCATTAGAAACACGAAACAAAAAATAATGTGCATTTGATGATGATCGTGAAACAGCACAAAAAAAATAAAACTGTTTTTGAAACTAAATGAACATTTTTTTCCATTATGTAACTAATTATCAACCATTAAATATTTTGTTGTATGAACATTTATGATATGTTTATTTATGATTTATTCTAAAACGCTAGTCTTTTTCGAAGGATATTGATCACCCAGTAGTAGCATAACTTTTGTTAAGAATTACAAACATCATAGTAATAATTGAAGTATCAAATATTGATGTTCACGCTGAAATATAAACAAGGAGTTTTTGAAGGAAAGGGGATAAAAAATAAATGTTTTCAGATGGATTTTCTTTTATATTTACATAATAATAAACAGACATATGCATTTTATATTAAATAAAAGAAATAAAATAATGAACAGCATAATATAAGAGCACGCTTAAATTAGTACGAACAATATTGTTACAAAGAAACAATCGATCACAAAATGTAATTAAATAATTACACAATTATTCGTTAATTGTTAATTATTAATTAGATGCAAATGTGATTTTCGTGCACTTTGTATAGAATGGGCCTCACGGATACAATCCACCTGACATCGTAAAGAAATAGAGATGCGAACTCGTTTATTGCACGTTGAAACTATATAGATATGTATTTACAAGAACCAAATTATTCACTATTTAAAAATAAACGAGTTCGAAGCTCTTCAGATTAAAAAAAAAGTTTAGATATAAAAAATGAAATACAATTATCTGACGGTGGAATCAAATAAACGAACTACCATTTTCCTGAGTTTTCCGAGCCCGTTAAACAAAAAAAAAAAAAAAATTTGGTCAAAATAAATAAATTTCATTTTCTGTATCCAATCTGCGCTTAATAGCAATAATAGATCTAATATGACATGTGATGGTGGTGTGATTGTAATGCAAGAAGGGGTTATTGTCTTGGTAAGGAAATTGAGAGAGTAAACTTAAAAATTATGTGATTAATAACTAGAGAACAAAATTGCATCGAAATTAGTGGAAGAAACTAAGCAAATTGGGAAGGAAGTATGTACATGGGATTTAAAACCTAAATATATATGTATGTATATATAAATATAAAAAAAATAAACTATACAAAAAAATAAAGAATATATAGAAAAAACGGTCCCGATCCAGAGTAACCAGATTTGTTGTATTCGAAAACTAATTTCGCATGACTTAGTTGAATCGCGGATTTGTTCTATGTACAATATGTAGATATAATATATTTATATAGTTTTTTTTTCATGTATAAAAGTATATGTACAAACTTAAATAATTGAAATGATGGAAGATTTAAATGATATATACACAGAGAGATAGAGTGAAAATGATATGATCGAAATTATTGGATTGTCGCGTATTATATACAAGTTAGCTTTTCCTCGTTATTTTTGTCCCATCATTTTGTACTTGACTGCAATAATTCTTAAAAACTAAATAACACACTTACGTTTTGCTTCGTTTCAAATGATCGAGCTGGGGGGACAACGTTATTGCAAATCATTCATTTCCCCTTTTAAACCATCTGGTTATAATCTTGAGCGTGGCGCGCTTGGAAGTTCTGATGGTGGTGGTATCCGGCGGGGGCGGCGTATCCGGCCATCTGGTGGTGGTATCCGGCGGGGGCGACGTGGTTTTGCGGTTGCTGAGCAACGGCAGCGGCGGCGGCCGCTTGATGGTTGAAATATTCTACTGGGTAATAGGCGGCGGCGGCGGCAGCGGCGGTTCCGGGATGGTTGTAGTTCTGTGCCCCGTAGTAATGGTGGTGATGGGGGGAGGCGGTATGTTGGCCGTTGTGACCGTTATGCCAGCCGTATGCGTTGTAGTCCTGTTGATAGGCGAAGGAACCGGACCCGGGGTCACCGGAGGCGAGGGCGTCGCGACGCTGCTAGTGCTGCTTCCGCCCATAGAATTCTGACGGTAGTGGGCGACCTGGGGCGACTCGCGCTTCACGTACACTGGCGGAGAGGCAGAGGCGGCGGGTAGCGGGATGAGGGGGACCTGCGGGGCCACCACCGGCGGAGGCACCACGGCCGCGGCAACAGGAGGAGGTGCCACCACCGGGGCTGGCTGATGATGCACCACCGGAGATGATACCCTTGGAGGGTTCGCTACCCTCTGCTGAGCGAGCTACCTGAGCCACCTCATTCTGCTGTTGTTGCTGCTGATTTCTATTCTGTCTCCCCTGTTGCTGCTGTTGCTGTTGCTGACGCTGCTGCTGGTTTTGTTGCAATTGTTGCCTGCATTTTGCACGTCTATTTTTAAACCACACCTTTAAACAAAACACAAAATTTAGAAATTTGTTAAAATATAAATCATATTATCAAACACAAAGATTAAATCAATTCCTTTATACAGACTGTTTTCAGACATCCCAGAACTCATACGATTATGTTTAATGACATTCTGATTGATTCATATTCCAAAATAGAATAGTTAATTGTAAAGCGCACCGAAGCAG